TTTTTCTGGGACATGGTGAGCAGACCTTAGGTCTTTTTCATTTTAATAGTTAGGAATGAGTTTGCTCAAATGGTAGAAGTGCCATGCTTCGCGTAGTTGTTGTGCGCGCTGACCGAAATCGAATGTCAATCGTCGGAAACTGAGACTACTGAGCTCCCTGCGTGATGAGAGGTCTTGAGGTGCAGCTGTTGCAATCTTTGCGGCCAACCATTCCAACAGTAACTATGTAAGTAACAAAAATTTGTAAGCAGCTCCGTTTTCCTCCGAGCTGTTTAACAAAGAATTGATGGATGGTTCGACGAGACCAGTGCTGCCACCAGGTACAAGTGCGCATTTTTTCGATTTTTACCAATTCGGAAGCAACAACACTGGTGTTGGAAATATTGAGATCTTTTGAAGTTATAACATTGGTGTTGGTAGTAACGACGTCAAAGTTTACAACATTGTTTTTTGTTATACTTGAACTTGTTTCACAATAAATACATTTTTCTATTTGATTTTTACACTTAATCCATTCCAAATAAACTTGCTAATTTGATTTGATTTCCTTCATTTTTATGCAACTCCACACTCACCAGTACATCCAGATTTGTTTCTCTAAAGTGGTATTTCGGTTTGTTACAATAAATTAGTTGGAGTGAAACCACGTTCACAATTTGCAATGAATTTCAAAAATGTTCTTCCAATATCTAGCAATTTTATGAAGTCTTCAAACCGTTCACTTGACAGTGCAAAATAGCACCTGACTTTTCATTTTTTTCGATTTCGCTGCTGCGCCGTTCGTTTTGCCAGGCACCACCGGCGCTCCATCGCAATGAAAAGTGACCATGTTTTTGAACCGTTATCATAGCTTTGCAATTTTTCAAATGAATCAAGACTTCAAAAATAATTTTTGGTAATTGTACATTTTCTAGAATTATTTGGTCTAAATGTAAAGTACAACATTGAACATCCAGTAGAACTAACCATTCTCGACGGTTAAAGTGCGAAATTGTCATTCATGTTGTGTATCATTTGTTTGTTGTGTTCAATTCATCCATTATCTTTTCAACGACGGCATTTATAATTCACAGAAATGTAAATGTAAGCCAATATTCTCTGATTTTTGTTTATTTAATTATATGTTCTTTAACAATGTCTTGGGAAGAAAGCGTAAAAGTCAGTGAAGCAGGTAAGAAAAAAATAAACAGGTTTGAACAAAGAAAATTAAATTTTTATAGAAATCTATTTGTGTAATCAAAGATTTTAAATTTGTTTTCAAACAGATATGTTTAGACGCAAAATTTGTGTACGTGTGCGCTTGCGTATGTAGTACACAGTTGAAGAGAGCACCAGACGAGACTCATAGCTTTGTAACTTTTATTAATAAACATAACAAACAGATGATATACAGCATTGGGATGTCATTAATGTTCCTCATACTTACTTTCTCCATGGATCGATCCGAAATGTCTGAGAGCACCATCGTAACCCTTGTCCTCGTTTGTTATGTTTACGGGTGGGTTATCGTGTTCATTGTTATGTGTGTTCATGTAGGTGTTTGTGTATGTCTGAATATTTGTGTGTTTGTATATGTCTGTTTGTGGCTATGTGTGTTTTTATGTGTTTATGTTCATTAATGTTAATTTATATTACTGTTAATATTTTCACCATTTTTATCAGTATTATCATTAATCGTCGCAATTATCACCATCGTCAGGTTGCAGTCATCAACGTCACCATCATCATCATCATCGTCAACATCATTTTTCTCATCTTCATCATCGTTGTCATCATCATTGCTAACGCAGATTTAGCGCGTGGATGTTCATCATGGTGACCTGCAAAGTCATTTCTGACCCCAACCTGGCCTTCACTCTCTACATGCTCCTGTCCACTCTCTCACTCACCTTGGCCGTCATGTTGGGTTTCAAAAATATCATCAACAAAATTAAGCCGGTTTGTTTCTTAATGTTCGTGTTTGTTTGATTGAACGGCTGATTTGATTGATTGATTGATTGATTGATTGATTGACTTAATTATTGATTTATTGATTTGTAGTTGAATTAGTCGGCTGATTCGTTAGTAGGTCGGATGGCTGTTGTTCGGTCGATTCAACTTGTTGATTTGATTGGTTCAGTCGATCGATCCACTCCATGATTTTTACCTTTTCATTCATTCAATTTTTTCATAGAGAAAATTTTTCCAGTTGTATAGGCCCGTGTGTACTTACTTAATAGAGTGTCCCGTAGTTATATGAAAAGCAATTAGTTTGGAATAGGTACACAATTGGGATAGATATCAAAATTTTTGGAATTTTACGCAGATTACAAAAATTATAAAAAAATGAATTTGCTTGTTTAAAATAACATAAAGTTTAAATTTTTTTAGAGTCCTCTCAATTAGTTGAATAATTCACAAGAAGACAAATTAATTTTTTAAATTACTTGAATAAATCACAAGAATACAAAATGAGCACACTTACAATAGAATTTAGAACTATCGTTGTGTACAAAATATTGTATTTTTGGGCAGCGTGATGGCTCATTGGTTAAAGGCGCCTGGTCTTGTTGTTTCGATGACTGGGTTCGAATACAAAGAGATTTCCGTTTATTACATGCAATGTTTAGGATGCGTGGTTTTCACGCCTATTCATATACGTAGTGTATGTTTGTCGTTTAAACCTCTGAAGCAAGTGCAAAAGAGAAAAGAGAAAATGAACTTTAACATTCACACACGCTCACATGTTCACACTCGCACGCATTCAAATTTAGTATTCGTATATTTTGAAATAGCTGGCCTCCTATGATGATGAAGAATCCGGCGATGAGAGCTTCCGTGGTTGGTACGAATATGTCTTCCTGTACCTCGATCCCTGTTGGTCGTTCGGCGATGCCGTCGTGAATGTCTTCTTGGCCCAGTTCGTTTCTGATAAGTATGGCAGATTTTTAGACGACGCGAACGTAACGACAGTCGCCGCAACTGACATGATGGCCCAACTGAAGGAGATGAGGGTAGCTTGGAGACAATCGCTCTTCTTGCTCTTTGTTTGCGGCATCATCTATTTGGTCTTGCTTCTTGGCATTGATAGTGGTTTGTTTGGCAAGATTTCCAAAAAGTTAGTTTATGCTGGCCTTGTTGCCTGTTTTTGTGTATACATGTTTGTGAGTTTTTGTGTTATTGTGTGGCTGTGATTGCCTGTTTGGTTGCTTATATGCGTGCTTGCATAAATATAGGGTTAACACTGTGATGCATCCACCACCTGTTCTGTTATTACTGCTACTACTTCCAACTCACTTACCACAGCCTCAGTAAGAAGTCGCCTCATCAGGTCGACTCTAAGCAGCAACTGGATAGTGACGTAATAGCAGAGAAAGGAAGAATATTTAGAGGTGAAAATTACAATGATGACTTGAAGATGATGGCGATGATGAATGATGATGTTCCTGGGGACGATGATGATGACAATGTTGCTGGCTGTGATGACTACACTTAATGCACTTAATGTACTTGCAGAGAAAGACAATAGTGGTGATCTTCTGATTGTCAACGAACTTGTTAAAGTATTAGCATTATATTCATCATTTTGTTCTCATTATCATATCATCATCATCATCGTTGTCACATTATATAATTATCAATATCTTCACCATCGGCGTTATAACTGGTGTTATAACATTACTCTACATTTTACATTAATACATATAACGTAGTACGATGCCATTGCGATGTCATTAAGATCAAATTACTTTAAAACAGCGGTTCTCAATCTGTGGTCCGCGGACATTTGCCTGGTGGTCCGCGAGCTAAGTGTGAAGTGCAAATTTTTTTTAATAAAAAAAACGAAAAAGATGAACTCCGATTGAGTCTTTCGAGCATTACGCCTTGTTTGGATAAGCAATGCCCAACTGTGCAAGCTCAAAGCTCACACTAAAATTAAATGTAGCGTTATTTCTAATGTATTTGGCACGTTAAAAAACCACCTGTTCATTATTATTCATTATTGTTAGCGAGTGACATTTGTTCATTGTAAAAGATGCAATTACAATTTGCTTCATATTCGATACGCTGTACAGAAACATCAATGTAAAACGAACATTATACTTTTTAATTTGAAGTTAAAACATTTATTAAAATATATAATAAATAATTTTAAATAACAATTTTAATACACCTATAGTACAGTGTGATAACTGTAGTTCTCTATGTCTAATAGTTATACTAAGAACTATGTTATACTAACTATGTGTAGCTGTTACGTCATATTTTGAAATAATAATTATATATAAATATAAATTTCAAGTGGGCTAGTAGCAAAATTTTCAGTAGTAGTCCGCGGCTGAGATACACATTTTTTAAGTGGTCTTTGAATCTCAAAAGGTTGAGAAGCGCGGCTTTAAAACAACTTTAATCTGATCACAATCCCATATTCGTTCTTGTATTTTTCAATCATAACTCCATATTCATCTTTGTATTTTTCAATCATAACTCCATATTCATCTTTGTATTTTTCAATCATAACTTCATATTCATCTTTGTATTTTTCAATCATAACTCCATATTCATCTTTGTATTTTTCAATCATAACTTCATAGTTACCTTTATTTACCACTCTTGTATTAACTTTGTATATTTGGTTTGTTAGGAATCTTGTAATCCATTCTTGGATAACTACATTGTCCGTTTAATCTGAAATTTCTGATGGCAATGCATGCATCAACTAACGAACCTAATTAAATTAATAAATAAATTAATGGATTGAAAGATATTTGTCAGCGTCTTAGAGTTATTATAGGTGTCTCAGCAAATCATGACCAACTAGCGAGTAAAATAAAACGCACCAATAAATAAATATTATTCGACGTATATAAACAAGATTCTTAAAAAATCGCTTTTTTCTTTTGTTTCTTGCTGACTAACCCGACTAAACTCAAACATTTATTTTACTCCCCGCCACCGAGGTTTACGATCCGCCATTCTGGCAGTCACTACGCAGTTTCCTATCAAAAACTCCTGCGAAAAAATTGGTGGCGGTGAACGGGGTTAGTTTCGGGACGAGAAGGGGCGAATGTTTTGGTCTGCTGGGAGTAAATGGGGCTGGAAAGAGTACTTTGTTCAAAATGATCACTGGAGAAATATGTCCGACATCTGGTTATGCCATTGTTGATGGGTCCAGGTTAGTTTATTTTCTATATTCTGCCACGTGTTGAGCTGTTAATTATTGTTGTTGTTGCTGTTGTTCTTGTAATTATTGCAGACAACCATTATTAAGATTTATTATACCTTGGCTTGGCTGACGCCGTGTTGTAACAATTATTGTTGTTGCTGCTGTTTTGATTTTACTATTAATGAAATTTTTTTTATGTTTTATTCATTCATTCATTCATCAATTAGATATTTCACAGCCACAAAATCTTGTAAGCCTAGCTCTTATAAAAATATTATTATTAATTGTTATTATTATCCCTTACCGTAATCCTGGCCAAATATCAACCAACACAGCCAATCTAATTACAACAGCACAACAACATAGAGCTAATATTTTATTATTAGCGATAATAGAAACATCTATCCATTTAAAACAACGCTCATCCAACCATATCTACAACAACATCAACATGAACAACACGATCATCAGCATCATGAGCAATCGTTCGTCCGCCCTCCGAAAGTTTGGGTACTGCCCACAAACTGAAGCCCTGTGCCCACTGATGAACGTTCAGGAACACCTCTTCCTCTTCGCCAGGCTCCGAGGGATTTCATTCCAGAACATTAAAAATGTGCGCCGTTCACATCTTTTTTTCAAATTCTTTTTTGTAAAAGTATTTTTGTTGATTTCGTTGTCTTTTCAATGTCGTTGATGATGTGGACAATTCAGATTATATTTTTAGAATTTCAATTCATTTTAAAGTTTAACGCTAGCTGAGATTTATCTATTATTTGTTGAAACATGAAGATCTTAAACAATTTTCTCTAATTATGAAATTATCCAATCAGTCAATCAATCATTCGATGTTCGCAATCAATCATTTAATGTACACAATCAATACTTCAACGCATCACCGTCGATTAGGTTGTAGAGTGGGGCTTGAGGCACATGGGTCTGAGGAACTACTCGAAACAACTGCCCTCCAAACTGTCGGGAGGTAACAGGAGGAAGCTGCAAGTGACCCTCGCCATCATCGGCAATCCTCAACTCATCTGTCTCGTTCGTTCAATCATTCATCATTTAAAGCCTACTATCGCTTTTCGCTATTTATTCAACTTCTGGACCAATAAACTTTTCAACCAACAACTCCTCAGCCAACATTCAATCACTGAACTTTTTGACCAACATTTAATCACTTAACTTTTCAACCAACATTCAATCACTCAACTTTTTGACCAACATTCAATCACTCAATTTTTTGATCAACATTCAATCACTCAACTTTTTGACCAACATTTAATCACACAACTGTTCAACCAGCATTCAATCACTTAACGTTTATATGAACACCCAACCGCTAACCGATCCAACATTGAAACAACACAGGACGAGCCAACCACGGGGGTCGACCCCAGGGCTCGCAGGTACGTGTGGGAGTGCATTTCTGGGTCTTCTACCATCGATCACGGTGTTCTGCTAACTACGCACAGGTGTAGATAGTGATGATGATGATAATGATGAAACAAACGGTTCTTAAATTTAAATACTCAGAGCGGAGATTGGTGAGGGCATCGCAATGAGACGTGCACGAAGTCTTGTAACGTCGTTAACAATAATAATAATGCTAATAACAACAATAATATACATTCTTCAAACAACCATCCATCCATTCACTCATTCAATCATCAATCTTTCATTTATTTAATCAATTCATCTATTTACCTTTTATCACTCATTCATCCACCAATTCATTAAACCGTAGTTCCATCCATTCATCCAATCATTCATTCATTTATTTATCCATCTATCTATTCTATTATCAGTTTATCTATTGATACGTTTCAGTCATTCGTTTATCCATCCACCCATAATCTATGCATCCATCCACTAATTTATTCACCCTTTTAGGCACATCCTCAGTTATCCAACACTTATTCATCCATTTAACAATCTATTCAACCGATCACCATTTCATTCAATCATTCATCCATTCAAACATATATTTAATCTATCCTCGGTTTATCCATTCGTTCTGTCTACTCATCGAATACCCTCTGCAATATTTGTTCATTCATCCATCCAACCAACCAACCATCTATCCAACCAACCAACCATCTATTTATATGTTTGAAAACAGCATGGAAGAGAGCGAATCGCTTTGCCACAAACTGACCATCATGTTGAGTGGACAACTCGTCTGCTTTGGCAACCTTCAGCACATTAAATCAAAGTTGGTGCTGTTTTTATCATTTACGGCACGAACGCCATCCTGACGTTGGACATCGCTTGAAAGTCACATTTTTGTATCATTATAATTATAATGAAGATTGTGTTTTAATTGAATGGTCAAAAAGAAAAAAAAGCTTTTGTAATCACGCACCACTTGCATTCACTTGCTTGCAATACACACGCGTGTACATGCACACGTACTTGCAGATTCAGCAGAGGTTACACGATAAACTTGAAGATGTACAACTTGACAGCAGAGGAGAACAAGAAAGCAGCTACAGAGATTGACGACTTCATAGCTTCCAGCTTCAACGATGCTGTTCTTACTAGCAAGTCTGTTCTCGTTTCATTATAATCGAGTGACATTTCAATAACGGTTTTATTATACAAATTTCAAAAGTGATCTGAAATTTTTAGCACAATTCTCAACCATATATTATAAAACCATAATTTTTATTTAACATCCTATTTAACAAATATGCAACTATCACATAAATAAAAATTGGATAAAAAATAAAATAATCCATTATCAATGGATATAAAAATTCCATGATCCAAAAAATAATAGAGCGTAGAGAACAAAAAAGTAGCAACAACAATAATGCAACCGAAAATAGTAACAAAAATAACCTAGTAATATATTATAAGAATCATATGTCAACCACTTTCGTACAGGACGAAAAAATTATGAAAAGAATCAACAAATAACGTCCAAGAAACCAACGGAAACGATAGTATTAAACTGTGAATATACTACTCCAACCAAAGAACGTCATCTCTAGTGATGAAAAACAACTGCACTAGTAAACCAGAATCGATAATGGATCATAGCCATCTAATGTATTTATTCTGTTGTTCAAATGTGATATTGGTGAGTGTTTGAGCACCATAATTCTAAATATATTGGTATGACGACGACTAAGTTATCGAGAAGACTCACGATGCACGTACAAACTGGCGCTATGAAGAATCACATGAAAGAGAACCACAAAACTAAAATTACTAGACAAATCCTGGACCACAATGTTGCAATTTTACATTACAATAACAACCATTATAATTTATGACTAGCCGAATCAAAACTCATAAAACAAAGACATCCGATAATAAATATTCAACAACGGGCAATTGGAATTCTTCCTACCAATAAATTTAGAAACAGAGAAATCATCAATAATGAAATCACGTAAAGTATTATATTTATCAATAATGAGAACACATAAAAGTGTTATATTTATCGATAATGAAAACAAATAAAAGTGTTATATTTTGCGATGTTGAAAGATTGTAAAACTAAATATTCACTTTGAATAAACGAGGAACTAATAAATAGGCACTGTATAAAAATATTTGAGCATCTGGGCACAACCACAAGATATCAATTTGAACACCGAAGATGGTATAGGAATACCGAAAAAAGCTTTTCTGTTCTATCATGCATAAAACAAACACAAATTTTGATTTTGAACTAAAGAAACTTAAAAATGATTTACGATCAACCGTTAGAAAAATCGAAAAGTTAAATTGGAAGTTAACTGACGCCGAATATGCTGTGACTTTTATCAATATATATATATAAATATATATATATATATATATATATATATATATATATATATATAACTAGGTATATATATAACTATGGAACTATATACTATATATATATATATATATATATATATATATATATATATATATATATATATATATTAAATATATATACTCCATAAAGTTCCATAGTTATATATAAGCATAGTTCACCATCAGAACTATAGGCATAGTTCACAATCTATATATATATTTATATGCAGATTTCATTGAATATTTTTGCCCACTTCGCGTTAATTAACTTTGTAAAAATACACTCAACGATATGGAATTGTTGTAAATCGTATTTATTGAGAACTAGTGACATAATTTGACTGGTTAACAACGTTGTTTCAGTGTAAACACCATCTTCAGAGCCTTGTGTGAGATACAAATATTAATATTAAAATAAATGGATATATATATGTATATATTGGGTTTAGACTATCATGAATACAATTATTTATATAGATCACTGCGTTTTCGGCATTATTAAACTTGTAGTTGAGTTTCTCAATTTTTCTAACGAGACTTTTATCGTATTGATGAAGTTTATTAAGGTTAAATAAAAAACTTTTAATATTTGACATTTTTGACAAAACATTATTAATAACGTTATTACTACAGAAAAGCTCTTTTGGTATCGACTGCCATCATCAGTGTAGTTATATAGTATTGTTCTGTCTCTCTGTCTTTGTTTTTACAGCGACTTTGATTGTAACTTAATTAGAATTAAAGTTAATCATGTGTTTCTTTGTTGGAAGAATATTGGTATTATTTAGTTGAATATTTATTGCTTGTTTACGTTTCCATTTCCATTACCAGGAATTTCAACGTAGTGCAGTATCAAGCTCCCATAATGTCATCACAGTTGGGTTCAGTGTTCGACAAGTTGTCTCATGGGAAAAATAAAAAACTTTTTGAAGATTTCTCAATCAGTCAAACCACTTTGGAACAGGTTGGTTTGTGGGTTGATTGATTGCTCATTACATAATAGCATCTAATAATACATAACACATGCAGGTGTTCCTTGTATTTGCAGACGTTCCCAGAACGTGATTCCTGAATGTTGCGTGTGTCTGTGTCCGTGTGTCTGAGTGTACGCACTTGATATCTTTTATGTTGTGCATGTGAAACGTATTCATTTCTCTAGTCATAGGACATTATATATATATATATATATATATATATATATATATATATATATATATATATATATATGTTGGTAATAGACCATAATTTTTACAATATTCTATAAATTCTACCGAATGTTTGGCATTAATATGTTTGTAGTTCGTTATTTCGATTTTTCTCACTAAAGTTTTTTTTGGTGAACGTTTAGTTTATTAAATCAAAATAA